CCGCCTTGACCGTCACTGCGAGGACGACTTCGACCGTTGGCCTTTGCCAGAGCTGGACGGGGTTGGTCGTCAGGTGTGCTCGTCGGGGGTCATCCTGATTCACCGCAGGTCGCTTGTGCCTCCGGTGAGTCATGGCGTTTGCTCTGGCACTCAAAAACAAACATGAGACGTTTTGCACCGTTTGAGCGCTGTTTTTGAAGCGTTTGGACCTGGGTATTTGCTGACCTTGGTGGTTTCTTGTCGGAATTGGTTGGAATGCAGCAGTGCAGTGAGTTCTCTTTGCACAGTAGACTCGGGAGATTTCTGGGAGGGCAGTCTGGTGCAGATGTGGGTCAATTGGTCAGTGAACAAGCCGTACAATAGAGCTCTCTCCCATATTCCGTATTCCAGTTCAAGCAGGCCAATGAGCTGTGAGGTACCCATCCCCATCTCAAGGATTGTGAAAGAATCTAAAGTGGGCCCAAACGCCCATTGGTCGAATGACGATCAGATTCTGTGTTCACCTCCAAAGTAAGCATTCGGGATGCCCCACTGCGGAGAATGGTGAACCCCCAAAACGAAAGGACATACTCTACATCTAGTGTGTTATACTAGTTGTTATCCAAACTCAAATCATGTTTGTGTCCGACTGAATTCATGGCTTAGAGACTCCTTCATGGCTGGATGCGCAGTGTCTTAGCCACCCAGGGAGAAGCGGACGATCACATCAGACAGCCTCCACCCTAGAAGCGATGGCCGAGCGATGGCCTCCAACCTAGAAGCTACTACTAGGGTGTTTATTGACCACACTTGGAAGAGAACATCTGGCAGGGGCAGCTTCCAAACCCCGGGGGTGCGATCTACCGCGGCCTCCATGCGGTCGGTCGACCGCGCTCCCCCCCCAGACCTCGCGGAGCGGCAGTCGGAGCCGCGCGGTCGCGCCGTGGCCGACCTCGTGAGGCCCTCGTGGATTTCACGCAAGATCTGGTCCGGGGGAGGAGACGTCCGTGGCGCGCGTCTCGTGCCTCCTTGTTGGAAGAAGTCACACCACACACAACCAGCGCCATCGCCACATCCGGGTGCAGGGAGTCATGGTGCCGCCATTCACACGATTGATGAAAACACCGGGTGTCGTAGCCCCCCTTAGACCGACCGCCCCGGCCAAAATAAGGGGTTTTGCGGGTGGTGCGTCGTGAAAAGCTTTCATTTGCGCCAGTCGTGAAGGCCAAAATAAGAAAAACTAATGGTTGGCTTGGGAATCCTAAACTATCCAGGAGGGCATTGAGGGCATTGGAGGAAGTTAGGATTTCCTCTAACCCGACGCCGACGCCCTCAGGACATTTCCTGTCCTGGCTCTGAACGGAGATGCCGTGGAATGCCTAGTGTCGCTGGACAAGCAGGCTGGGAAGTGTGGCCGAAATCAGGTTCTTTGGGGGGGACGGCTGCACGGAGATGAGCAGCGCTTGAGTACATTCCCTCAAAAAATATGGGCTGTGAACTTTCTGTTTTGTGAACAGACAGGGCCTGGCGACACACACACACACACACACCCATCAGGATCCATGAACACTTGGAGTTTCGAACCAGGAGAACGATCTGAAGAAAGAGTCCAATTTTGCATGCTGGAATGACCTGGAATCATCTGGAATCATCTGACTACTAGTGCCACTCCCCAGGGAATGAAGGTGGCTGCCCCGACAGATACCGATCCGGAATCTGCAACGGATCCAGCCACCCCCCATGAACCTACGAGTCGCACGAGTCAGTCATTCCGAATGAAGCAGTAATATAAGTATACTGCTCCCTCCCCAAACCTCCTGAGACATGGCCTGCGACGACGACGACGACGCCGCCGCCGCCGCCGCCGCCGACGACGACGACGACGACGACCACGACGACGACGACGACGACGACCACCACCACCACCACCACCACCACCACGACGACAAAAAAGGAACATACGCGTTCTGAAGCGATAGATGGGCAGGGACGTGACAGGCCACGATGCTTCGACTCGTTTACATGTCTCCAGCACATCTGTCTGTCCGCCGGTCTGCTCCACTTGCTACGACAGGGAATGATTTGCTACGAAAATGGTTGCTGTGATGCACACCATCCTGCTCTCCTGGTTTCACCGTCGCTGGAACCCCCGCAACAGCCATGTACAAGAGTCCTAGAGGCCAATCTTTCAGAATTCCACATGTTTCAAGTTAGCACCTATAGCCTTTGTAGGAATGGTTCTTTCTTGGGTTTATCCAGACGGCTGCCATTTGATGTGATGATCCAGAAGTGGTGAAAACAGCCTTCCCTTGCAGCTCCCACGAGCTGCGACCCCTCGCGGGAACCGGTGGACCGTTCACACGTTACGAGCGGCCGACTCCTCAGTTGCGCTACATGGTGATCCAGAGGACTGGAAAGAAGGCCACGAGTGGGACGGGGGATGGGAGCCTGTAGGCCGAACAGCGAAGGACGGAGCAGGCCGAACCGCTGGGAATTCGCAGGCTGTAGCTCAAGCGGATTCGACTGGATGTGGCAATGGATTCGACTGGTCAAGCACAGGTGTGGGCAATGGCACAATGAAAATAGACTTCGGTAGCCCCATGGCATTTCAGTTGGAAGAAGGTCAGTTTTTTTTCTGGATCTTTTTGTGGAATGTTCAGTTCAGGTTATTCGGCATATAATAACTATAGATCTGCAAAAGACTCAATGAATGAGGTTCGGAGTTCTGAAACAGCCTCACCTGTTGGAATGTGGAATATGTTCCTCAGAGGCCAAGGGGGGGGGTGGAACCCTCCTTTGCCCTGTGGCCCGTGCATGGTTTCAAAGATCTAGGAGCAAATGCTGATGGCCTGGCGGGTTTCTGGATTTTGTCGAATTGAACTTCCTTGTCTAGAGCGAAGAACTATTCTGCATTTTGATGGTTAGATTTGCAATCACTTAGCCAGGATTCACCCAGCTTTTTGTCATGGTTTTAGCCAGGTTCTGCCCGCACTTGAGCTGATTTCTGATAGCGCTTTCAACCTAACCACTCAAAAGCATCTATATTCAGTGGTTTTGGAGGCTTAGAGGCTCGATGGCACATTCCCCAAGTTGGGTGGTTGATGTAGACCCTTCTTCTGAAAGAGACATTATATAAGGGTGCAGTGCCATCGAACCTCTGAAACCATTGTACTTCCGTTACAATTTACAACATCAGTGTCACTTCTGCATACTTCTGGATGCCTTCTCCGGGCCTTCTTCGGACGAGATGAAGATAGGTTCTGGACGAGGGACGTGGGTTTTTTCTCCACAGAAAATGTCGGCAAGGTGTTGGGGTCCAGATTGCTGGCATGGGAGACTTCCATTCATCGCACACCTCCACTCCTCATCACAAGCGAGGCCAGCACTTCTCAGAACTTCTGAGAGGAACTTTTCATCATCTTCCACTAGGCTTTGAACCAGGTGCTTGAAAAAGGAGACCAGCAGCCTGCAAAGCAGGGTTCTGGTCTGGTGCTCCCTCCTATCATTTTCAAGAGACCTCTGACCTCTCCATGTGCGACTCCCCAACACGCGTCGCCGTGCCTGTCAGCGCGCCAGGATCACAAGCGGCGGGCCCTGGCGCTCGAAACGGTGGACCAGGTCTGCGTCGGGAAGGCCCGGGGTCGCGGATGGGATGTCGCGGATGGCTCAATCCACCGGGGCCCTGGGAGAGGCTGTGAGGTCACACGAAGGCGAGAAAGCAAACAAGTCCATGATCTTTAAAGGGATGGGGGACACACCGTGATGAGGCTGTGATGTGAAGGTGAGACAAAAGTTTGGATTGGAGAAAGAAGTGAAGGGAATGTCCATGGTTTGTGGCTGGCTTCACTACGGTAGAATGACATCGTGAAAACATTGGTGAAAGGCAGGCCACACATGCTCTTCATAGACCGTGCCCTGGTCTAGTTGTATTTGTCATGGTATTAAAGCAAGATCATGGGAGCATGATTTTTGTAAGTCTTTATCGATGGGTGAGCTTTATAACGTATTGGATAAGCGGAGATTTGTGTATGGCAGATGGTTTTCCCCCGGATGTCAGGGAACGTATCACATTCCCATGTCAGGTATCATTGAGAACAGGTCTTTTTAGGGCTTTTTAAGCGCCAGATATACTTCGAGTGGTTGAGTAGTGAACGTACCAACTAGTGCAGGGGGATCATTCGTTCTCAAAGACTCTCGGCGACGGGCATATGCATGGGAGCGCTCTGACACCGCGCGCAGGAGGCACTGGATGAGTCTGGTCTGCCTCTCACGGAGTTCTGCGTCTGTCTGCTGCTCACCAAAGGGCAGGCGCAAGCGCAGCGGCGGTTGGTTGGTCTCATCGGTGGCCCAAACGGTCTCCACGGTCGGTCCAAACAGGTAGCAGGTCCAGCGCCCTGCCCGGTCTCCGCCTCAAAACCCGTGGTGGCGCGGGTCTGTTCAGCCACCGCGTCCAGGCAGTGGCATTGATCTTTCCCAATTTCCAGGTGCATCGGCCGGCCGGACATGCCCAAACGCGTGAGGAGGCGCCTGGCGCCATCCCACCTCCCCACCTCCCCACCTCCACTTGATCCACTTGATCCGACCCAAAAGAGTTCGGTTCCTGAACCTGACCTCGAGGGGCCCGCACGTGGTTCTACCGCACGACCGGAGAACGTGAGGCGCTCACGTATCGAGTCTGGTGACTACTTGCGACCTCGACTGGTTGGGTGAGCCGCCCCCCCTTTTGAGACTTCGTTTGGGTCCTTTTGGCACATCTGTCAAACGGAGGGTCAAAGTCATGAAGCCCATTTCCGGAAAGCTTCCCTCCATTTGCTTTGCTTGCCCCTGGACTTGGGACGTTTGGTGCAATGGTGGAGATGCTGCCACCGAAGTATGCATTCAACTGTTGCCCTACGACCGCACCCTTTGGTCGTCTATCAGCTCAAAATGGATGACGCTACTGACGCCACCGCTGTGCCTGCATCGCGGACCATCGCCCAAGACCCCCCCATATGGACCGGTTCCCAACCGCGCCGCCGCGCAGCCATTGGACCGCAAACACCAATCCCTCACCCGGCACGGGCGAGTTCGCCGTCTCACTAGGCACCGCGACCGTTGTCCGATCTGCTCAGCCATGTCCGGCGGGACCATTACGAGCGATTTCGCCATGCTCACAGCTCAGCTACTGGAGCGAAAACGGGTTGGAAGGGACCAGGTTTTCCGGCAGGGGTCAAGGGAAGATCGCTTAGTTGATGAAGTGGCGAGATACATTCCGAGCGGTTCTGTCGCTTGGGCCAGTCCAGATGCTCTGAATGCCCAGATGCTCTTTTAGGCTTCGTACTCATACAGTTAACATCAATGAACCCCATACAGGGTATGACAAGGGCATACCATACAGGTTTCTGCCCATACAGATTTCTACACTGGTCACCTCTTTTGCTCGGGTTTGCGCCTTCCGCGAAGCCGACGATTCATCAGAGCTGGGGGGACATTCGAAGCCTGCGCAGCCTGCGCGGTTGAAACAGCAAGGCCAGCAAGGTCCTCGCACCTCAGATATGTTCAACCGTGATGTCTTTTCTTTGTTAAACAACATGTCAGATGATCCACTCTTTCCAAGAGAGTGATGGTTTCCAATGGTTTTCCCATGGTTTTCCACGACCTCCTCCTTTCTCTCTTGCTGATCCGGATCCGACCGGATCGTGACCGGATCCGAGCGGAGAGCCGGGCCGGGCCGAGCGGAGAGCCGCGCCAGGAGATCCTGCGAGCGCATGAGGGGATGCGGGTCTTCTCTCCCAGCAGCTCGGAGCTTCGGAGCGGCCGGTGGAGCGGCGGAGCGGCCGGCGGAAGGCCGGCGGAAGGCTGGAGGTTGAACTGCTCCAAGGGCTGGATCTGGAATGGGACCCTGGGACCCTAAAAGCCCTTCCTGTTCGCAGCTTCGAGAGGGGTTCTTTATCTCTTGAGACAGAGCCGCTGCTTTCCGAACCACGGCTGCTTTCCGAACCACGGCTGCCGTAGTCACTACAAATGGATCGCATCGCCCCTGACCCAGCTGACCCAACGGTTGGTTGAATCAATCTGAACAAGTGGCCGTTCGAATGAATCGAGATCCTTTAACAAGCCCCCGGAGGGTTTAGGATGGTTTAGGGGTTCCAAAAAGGCTGGCAAAGCCTCTGCAAGTGAGGCAGCCAAGTGTTGTGACATTCTCGAGCGCTGGGCTCCCATGGCCAAGGAAATTCCCAGGGAGAAGTCCATGAGCACGTGCTCTTGCCGAAGGCTTGCCTGAAGCTTTTGGATGCAGCCCAGGACACATTGACACTTGTGTCGCTTCGTGATGCAACTACATTTTGGCGTGAACCCTTGAATGGGGGGTGGGGAGGCTCCATTTAGAGACAATTTCAATTGCAGGCTCGTCACTGCCATCTACTGTACCCTTTGTGATTTGCATGTCAGAATGCGCGTGACCCTTTTCAAGCTTGGGCGCACCGCATCTGGAATTTCATCCTCGGGCCTGTCAGAAAACCATGCATCGTGTTGGACCCGGATTGGAAATGAAGGACTACCACTTGAAGGGCGACTTCACCAAAGTGGTTAGCATTGTTGAGAGCATGGACAACTATGAACTGATGATCACAGGCATGGGAAGTGGATGGAGCCTGGCAGGGCCATGGCCAAACAAGTCTTTTCTCCAAATGACCTCCGCAGAAGGTACATCCAGATTTGTTCCTTGTACTAGCCCAAAATGCCAGAAAAGCAACGCTTGAAAGGACCACTGGTTGATGGACCGGCATCTTGCCATTATGGACCATGATGGAGGTTATCAATGGCCATACCTGTTTTCTTTTTCAAATCTATATTATATGTTTTTCAGGTTGTACAGGGAGGTATTCATGTTTGGGATCTTCTTTGACTGCATTGCCATTCCAAGAGTACAGACTTCCCCAGTGGTTCTCAAGACTAAGTAGCAAAATTGACCACCAACCGAGGATATATTATTTCAATTCGTATCCTCTATATCAGGGCCTTTGTGTTCTGAATGCACGGAACTATTTAGAACTATGTTTTTTTTTTGGAAAACATTGGTAAATTTTTGATCACATAGTAAAATTGGGAAAAAATATTGGAAATTCTTGTGTTTTTTTTCTTGGCTTTGACTTATGTAAGCAGTGACCACCAAGGCACCATTTGAGGACCTTCAGAAACACATTTTGGGGCCACTACCACTGCCAAAATCTTCACTTCACAGGCCCCCCACAAAGAACATGAAAGCACTTCAAGAAACATTTGTGGTCACACCGTAGTGCTACCGGCTGTCAGTTTAAAGTTATGTTCAACAAAGGACTTCCAGCCACAGGCCAAGCACTTTGTTTCGCATTTGGTTCATTGTTCTTTCTCGGCATCAATTCCCCACTCGACTTCTTATTTCTGCGTTTAGCAGCGGTGCAGTATGGTCGGCGTGGTTCATACAACATCCTGAGGGTTGACCACGTGTTGACGTTGCCCATTGTAGGTGTGAAATCATTTAATCATGTTTTTCTGTAATTGTGTTATCAATCTTTATGATTCATGTACTACTGGGAAAACTTCGGCCGTAATTAATACTCACTTCAAATTGTGGACAAACTTGCAGCCTGCAAATGAAGTGAAGTATATAAGAAGTAGGCTGGGCAGTTTCAAAATCCCAACACCCAATCAAAGAGTTCATAAGACAATTTCTACTTAGATTCAAACCAATTTGGTGAGGCCAATTTGGCGAGGTCGACCGTGCACTGGCCAAGCGCTATAACATTTGACCTGTTATGTTCTATATAAGTTCATAGCTTGCGGTCACCAATTGAAAATTCTACCACGCTAGTGACTTGCACTTAACTTAACGTACACCTGAGAATTGGAATCTGAACTATCCACATGTGAATTAGATTTAACTCACCACCACCACGACCACCATCGAGAAGGCTTTCAACTTTCCAAAAGCTTGACAGCACTTCGAAGTGTTCCACTCCTGAAATTTGATTCCTGACTTTCCCGACAAATGCTGCCAACTTCTGTGGCGTGCGCTTTCTCTCCCCTCGGTCATTTTCCCAGCTCTACTCCTCGATTTTGAAGACAGCCGGTGAAAAGTTTCATATTTCGATACATTTCGGGCTTGTGGTGCTCCCCAGAACGGTTCCAGAACGGTTCTGAACGGTTCTGCTCCCATCCTTCTCCTCAAATGTTCTTTTTGCTGTTGTCCAGCCTATTTTTGATGCGTCCCATGTTTTCCTTATTGGAAGCCGCCGGCTAGGTTCTTGCCTTCGTTCGCTTCTGATTCGCAGGATGTTGTTTCTTTTTTCGCTGCCACACTGCTCAACGCAAGACGTTGTCGAACATTAAACACACCTTGGACCTGGACCTTTCACCAAAACTCCCAAAGATAAGAGGCCATTGTTTAATAAACAAGAGAGATGGGGGGAGAGAGAGAGAGAGATTGCCTAACTGGAGATTGAATGACACTGAGTATGTAAGAACGAAGGCCAGGCATGAATGGATATTTCTCAACATTCTGAGTTCTTGGGACTTCCCACGCCTATAGACGATGCACCATGGACGTGACAACTTTTTCCAGACTAAGCAGTTGCTAAACCTTACCTTTTGCAAACGTTGATGACTTATGACTTGCTAACTGATAGTTGCAATCATAACATCTAGCTACCTATAACATATCCTTTGCTTTAAACAGCTATAAGTTCCCGGAAACTAAAGGAAAATGCAATCCCCAGAACCGTTCTGAGGATTCAACGCCAAAAAAGGTGAATAGTTCTAAATCGTTCTAAATAGTTCTGAAGAGTTTGAAGACTCGGAACCGTTCAGAACCGTTCCGAGAGATCCCTAGTCCAGACGCTTGGAACCGTTCAGAACCGTTCTGGGGAACCTGTTATGGAGTTGTTTGTGTAATTGCTTTGAACAACACAAGTTAAGATGTACAATAGGCTGGTTGAAAGTTCCAAAAGGTATTATATACAGTAGATATTGTAGGTTCATGAGTTTTCACTGAAGAGCTATGGTTGAACAATTGCGTTGCATGCAGCTGCTTGTATGAGTAAACATACGCTTTCCCAGACTCACTGGAATGTCACGAGTGGACAAATGCATTCACTGGACTCACCATTTTTTGAAATATTGTTCCTCAGATTTGTGTCGGCACCATTTTACCGGATTGTTTCTCTTTTCTCTCAATTTATTTACAGTTTGTTTCCTAGATTTGTTCCCATGTGATACTTTTCAAACCATGTTTCTCCAATATTTTTTTCCTATACTGGTTGGAACAACACAGATAGAGAATACAAACCGAAATAAGGGATATATGACAATATATAGCTATATGATGCTATATGTTATATGATAATAGCTATATGATATACGATATGATTAATATATATATATATATACACAGTATATACATATCCATATCCATAGATAATACAATATACTGTATATATATAAACATATACCGGTAATTTTGACTGCGAGATTCGAACACACATTTCATCATATTGTACAGTTGACAGAGATAACACGCTGGAGTAGCTTTGCCTCACCAAGGACATGTCTGGGTCTCCTGAACCATTTCAATAAGAATAAGAAGTGTTCTTTATTTTAAATATAACAGACGCTGCATCGGAACTTGGATTAGCTGATGTCATTGTTTGGACACCAATGCTCCAAACATACATAGATGCTTTTGATACCATGCCCTGGCCTGCATGGGGATGGATTTCAGACAGTTGCCTTCTATTCGTCATGACTCAGGATTCTAGTAAAGCTCAGAAACGCACACCTGATTTCAACAGAGTTTCTGGCTTTAGGAGCTGCATTACCGGTGTGTGACAGCCGCTGGCAGGCCGCGTGTTGCAGGAAATCTTGGTGCAGGCCTGCGACGGGTTTCGCGCTTTGACCATCTGTGATTCATTGTGATTCGAGCCGAGTGTGGTTTCTGTCCCGTAAGGCCGAGCAAAGACAGGTATATATATATAAGTTTCATTGTTTGCACAAGAAATGGATTGTTGAGGCGCATGCTCCCAGACAAGGCATCCAATGAGCATGATGTGCACACGTTGCCCTGGCAGATGTTGAGACATCGCAAGCAGCGCACGTCGAACCCCGCATCGTTCGCCGATCGAACCCCGATCGGGCACGGTTCCACACTCTTGGTGGGGACGGAGTTTCCGAGTTGCCCAATGAGCGCGGCGGCTCGGAGCGGACTAGAGCGGACTCACACATGTCGGAGCATGTCGGAGCATGTCGTTTGACCCTCCTTCTGGTCCAAAAGGTTTTCAGGAGGGTCAAACGTTGCCATGAACAGAAACCCTCCTACTCCTGCTCTTGAATTCCATTCCGCCTTGGACGCTGCTGAGCTTGCAAGAGGCGGGCTTGTCTGAAGCCCATCACCGGCTGCGGACCTTCAAGAACTCGGTGTCCTCGGACGTGCAGGGCGTCACCAACACGGAGGCCCGACGCACGGCACCGAGGGTTTCCGAACGAGCCGGGTGTTACCTGGCCCCCCAAAACGGGGCAGTGTGACTCATGGGTCGACTGATGAGAAGGGAAGAAAGAACAAAGCCATGGCATTTGGATCCAGGGATTCATACTCCGGACTCTGTTTGTGCTGGGACACTTACTCTTGGAGAAACCTCGGAGAAAAAGGAACACACCCACGATAGAAAGAACTGATAGATGTCCGACGACCAGCTGAGCTGTATGGTTTTGATCTCGTTTGCTTGGTTGGGCTTAGCTGAGATTATGATCATTCCCCACAGGTTACACTGCCCTCAATCATCGCAGCTCCTAGAAGCGCATTCTTCCGTCGATACGGTGCCAGGACTCTTCTGTGGTGAGCTTCATTGGCACATTTGAGACGCTTGCTTTCACGAAATGGAGGAGGAGGATGGAATCAGGCAAACATTTGCACGACATAGACTGGATGTAGTGTCGCCTGTTGTGCATGGGAACAGCATCAATTCAACCTCTATCAGCTCTTTAGACATGTGGCAAAAGATTTGTCTGCAGCTCCAATGGGCAAAGACATCTATGCTCAGTCGGGATGCTGCATTGCAAAACGAGGCCGGAAACTGGGGGCGCCACACTCATTGCCATACGACGGAAGTACTGTCAAAGTCAAAGCGCACGACGTCCCTTCTGAAAAACACCGTCCGTTCCAAAGCGTCAGTGCCCATGCCGAGGAAGCTGGTTCAGAAGGGCATCAAGCCCGAGGCCATTCGCGAGGCCTGCCAGCTGAAACAGGGTTCCTTCTTGTTTCAGGATCTAGGCTTGATGGGTTCGTTCTGTCATGCGGAAGTAGACACCAATTGATGGTGCTCAATGAGGGGCCTGCTTTTCTCCCAAAACCGGTAGAAGATCGTGATTTTCCAGCACCTGACCTCGTCCAACCTCGTCCTGGCACCTCGAACGAAGTCGAACGAAGCGCAACACCGGTACGGCGAGACGCTCTCCGAGGTGTCGGAGCGGCGAATGCCCCATGATGCCCCATCTCCCTGATCATCACCCAAATGCCCTAGACCCAGACCTTGGGGGAGACTGGGTCGTTTTGGAAGAGGGGCCTTCATCGGCCAGGCCGTGAAGGACCAGAAGATCGAATTGGTGCTCACAGCACATCCCACAGAGGCTCAGCGCCGTAGCGCGCTGAAGAAGCATGAGCAGATGCTTCATCAGATGAAGGCCAGGTGAAGGGCACTGAAGGGCACAGCTTGCTGGAAGTAGGGTGTTTCAATGTGTTTGATGTTGATATGTGAAGCCATCTCAACAGGAAAGAGCTTTGAAATGGCGGGAAGCGATCTCAACATCACCTCTGGATGCAATCACCATGTCAAGGCTAGCTCGCTTGCAACAGTCCTCCCTCAACAAAGGCCTCTGACGGAAGAATGACGATGGGATTCACCAGCTGTGTAGCCAAATGCCGCGGCCAGTCATGGGTCGACCGGTCGACCGCCTAAAGGCCTAAGGGCTAAACAGGCAGTCATGAGGGCTGTCACCACCTTCAGAGGCCCAAATGTCAGAGGTGCGGTGCCTACCGTGCCTCCCAGAAGCTGGACCGGACATTTGGGCTACCCAGGCCCTCGGTCGATTGATGGGCCCCCGGAGCCCACAAGGAAGAGACATGTTGAAAACCCATCAAAGGATTCGCTGTATTTCTCTGATTTCGCTTTCAGATGCTTGACCAGGTGGAAAAAAGCAAGCTCGCTCCGGCTCGCTCTGGTGTTTTCCGCAGCAAAACGGTGGTTTTCCGCGAGGTCCATGATGGGAAGGATCAACTGACTCCTGGACAGCTGGCCCAGTTGTACGAGAAGATCAAGGCACGGGGCTCGGGGGCTTTTCGGCGAGACCGGCCAGAACGACTGTGAGCGGCCAGTGCCGTGCTCGGTGAGCGGGCATTCGATCTTCCCCCATCTGGGACCGCTCGCTGCTGGGACCACTGCATCTTCGCACATCGGAGTTCGCCAGCCTTTTTGAAGTTTGAAGCATCAGTTCACGGTTTCAAAAAAGGCTGGCGAACTGATGGATGGAACCTCCAGTTACATCAGTTCAACTTGATCAGTAACCTCCAGTTACATCAGTTGAGGTTCCATCAGTTACATCCGTTTGAAGCATCAACTTGCTCGACGGATGGAACCTCCATCGCCACCATCGGTTCCTCCACGTCACCTCCAGGCCATTCAATGGAGCTGCTGGCGGACCAATACCGTGCGTCGCACCCGGCCGACACCTGAAGGCTGGACCCGGGACGATGCCAGGGAAGCCTGCCAGGGAGATGCCAGGGGTGGCAGATGGTACAGTTACTACAGTTACTGTACAGTTGCTTTTAGATGTCTTTCATGCATGTTAGCTCAAAAATCAATTGGATACGGGCGTTAGGTTCCCAATCTGAGAAGGGGTGGTACGTAGGGGTTTGTGCAGTCTACTCTGAGTCACATGAAGATAGGCACCATGCGTTATAACTCTTTCGTTTTCTGTCGGAGTTTATACTCCTATCCTCGAGCGTTAGGTGGCACCTCGAAATTGGTGTCGCCTCCATTTGCCACTGCTTGGGGGTTCTGCATGGCCATTGTTGACTTGATTCATTGCAGCTGGAACGAAGTCAAGTTCAGAAACTGCCTGCGCCCAGAGGGTTCAGAAACTGGGCGGGTTCAGAAACTACGGTCCAGCAACTGTTGTTGTGGGCAGAACATGGCAGAACTGGCTTTGTCGGGTTCAGAAACTGGCTTTGCCGGGTTCAGGAACAATGGCTCAGAAACTATTTCTGGCGGATTCAGAAACTGATTTCGTCGGTTTCAGAAGCTATTTTTGCCAGGTTCAGAATCTATTTCTGGTGGGTCAGAAGCTCACTTTGTATCATTTTGTCGTTTTCAGACACAGAAACTATTTGTACCGGGTTTATGGGTTGGGCGTTTGGACTCTTCGACGCGCCCGTGAGACGGGCACGTGCAGGCCTCGACGAAAAGCGGTTGGCTTCAACGGTCGCGGTTTCGCCAGGTGAAGCTCGAAACGGCATGTTGGTCATCGAGGAGACGTCCTTTTGAGACGTCGCGAGACGTCGTTCTCCACCGTGGATCGGAGTCGGACGCGCGGAGCGAGCCGAGCCGGGTGGCGTCGGCCATGTAGCGAGGGTTTTGACTTGTAGCAGACATGGTTTTGAGCGATGTTGGGCAACCTGGTAGCTTTGGTGACGCAGGTCTTGGGTCTTCCAAATAGGTGCGCCTCCCACGGCTGCGAAGGGGGTGGCACACCTCGTTTTTCAGTGGTAGTGGTGAGTTATAGTAAGCGTATCCAGGCGTTCATGGACATGTCATTTCTCCAGTAATAGTAGTTGCTCGAGCAGGTCCCACTGAAAAATCTGAAAAGACCCCTGAGAAGACTGGTGTGACAGCAATTTGAGAGGGGACCTCACTCAAATCTGAAGCTCCTGTGATCCATGGTTCTTGGATTGAAGGGGCTTCTGTGACGTTTTCGGTTCGTCTCTTGTATGACAATGTATGACAGAGGTTTGGTATGTTTCAATTTCAATGCTATGGAGTAGTTGGAGCCACCAACGTAGTGCTGTGTGTGGTTGGCAGTGATCCCCAAATCCTTTCTCCCACCACGACCAGCATCTACCAGCCACTACCAGCCAGGCCCATCAACCCATATCAATCCATCAACAGCCAGTCCGACCAGTCCAAAAACCACAGGCCAGATACTTCGACCTACCTTGACCACACACTTGGACCTCAAACGACCTAATGTATCCTATACTGTGTAGACTCTCGATGATAGTTCAGCCCCTATATATGAAGAAGTTGTTCAATCCCAATGGATTAGGCTTTAGATGACTTCTAAGAAGTCCAAAAAAGGTGCTTCCACTGATCCATCGATGTTCGAGATCCCGGAGCCCTCGACCTCCAACCGCCCTCCGCGGCCTCGACCCAGAGGAGACCGTTTGGAAGGCCGTGCCGGAGCACTACCGACGCCTGGACCGCTGCCTCAAGCGAATCGGTGCGGAGGAGCTGCCCTTCGATGTGCCCTGGAGCGGGGCACGGTCCGTGAGGGAAGGGATGCCCAACATCGGTGCAGGATGGACTGGATGGACGTGACTGGATGGACCTGGACGTGGATCGACGTGGTTTCCTTTGTCTTCGTGGTGACGGGAAATGGCTTGGTCGACGTTTTTGCCTTTTTGTTTTGCTTTTCTGATCGTTGTTGGGATAGGTGGGGGGAAGGCATGGGAAGGCCTGGGACGCAGGTTGCCCCTCCCATGTCCATCAAGTAGATGGCAAATCACCACCCCTTAGGCCCTAGGCAGTCAAAATGTACTGTAAGTTACAATAAGATGGTCCCCCCCTTTTCATCGGGGTGGGGATGATGGAAAATCCACAGTTGGCATCTGGCCCGAAGAAACGAGCAGAACGCGGTCCTGCAGTGGTAGACATGGTGTATTTTGCATCCTTAACCGCATGGTTTAAACATAATCGTGCACTACTGTAGCGGGCGAGGCAATTCAGATCACCTGTCCTTTCGGTGGGTCTCCACCTTTCCTTTCTTCTTGAAACCATTTGGAGCTGAACAATCCGTCGTTGCCCAGTGCTCGCTCCTGAAGATGAGCAGCTGGATGGGCGGAGACCGCGATGGCAATCCCAATGTGACCTGGAGCGTTACCCAAAAGGCCTGGTGTCAAAGCACCGGCGGCACGCCACACCGCGCGGCTTTCGCTGGAGAACTACGGGCGGTGACTTTAGGTGTAGTCCCAGGGTTTGGCGGGGTTCTAGAAGTTTTGGCTTTGATATGTTGGGTTTGCTGAAGGCATAGGGACTATCTTCATGGATTCTGACAGAACCAGGACCAGTGGTTTCCTTTTGACAGGTGGTCACTTTGTTGCGCTGGCGTATTGTGGAGCTCTACTACCGGGAGGTGGATGAGCTGCTGTATGAGCTCAGCGACTCACAGGAACGTTTGCTTTTTTCGATTCTGACTGGGGTTCAGTCAAGCCTGGGTACTCAAACCCAAGAACTTCAAGCTCGAAAGCAGATGACTGGAGGGTTCTGGCCAAGGACTGCAGGCTTGTTAACAAGATGCGGTTCTCATTCGGGCATATTTGGGCCAAGGATAAGAGCTTGAAAGGTAGGGTAGAAGGCCAATCTATGCTACTCAAGTCTCAAGTTAAAGTCTCTCCTGCTCAAGTGCAAGATCCTGCTGGCGTGTTCGACAGGGTCTTGGACTCCCTGGCACCATTTTTGGGGACAGGATGTGCATCCCTGGCTGCCATGGTCGGATCAATTCATCGTCCGCCAAGCCAAGGTATGACTGGTGAGACCAATGAGGAGATGATGAAGGAGGCAGACGGCCGACAGAAAACACGAGGACACACCAATGCCTGAGACTAGTCAACACCAAACAAATAGAAGAGAGCATTAAGTATATATTATATATACACGGAATTGTGTATTTTATATTGTACATATACATTCACATACATATACAATATCAATATGTTGACACAGTCATACTTCACACAGTACATGGACGAGGGATATTCTACTGCAACAGATTCTGTACCTTACTTCCCTGATCCTTCCCAAATCCTGGCATTCCCACTTGCATGTCAGTAGTGTGAGGATACTTTTGTTTTCGGTCATTTTCTTTCGGGGAGAGGTGCGGACTTTGATGGACACCAAAATGGCTCTGGCTCACTGGACTCTTATGGATTGCAGGATATTTCCGCGCAGCAGGGCGCAGCAGGGTCTTGCGCTGCCGCAATGGGGGATATCTAGTCATCTAGTCATTTGTATACTTTGGGCGGTGTCTGTCTGTCCGAACTGACCTGTAACAGTCGGCAAACAAGGAATCACTCATTTTAGAGATGGAAAGGCTTGCAACCTAACATAACACAACCATCATCATCCACTGGGCTCTGGTAACGGGATATACCCAATGAATGTACACTGGAGTCAGTTTCTCCTCCACTTCTACCACTTGGGCCCCACTTCTACCTCTCTTTGCTCAACTGGGTCTCTCCCGAAGGTCGATGCATTCGACCCTTCTCAGCGCGCGGGCTGAACACCGGTCTGCCGCGTCCGCGCGTGTTGCTGCGCGCGTGCGGTCGGCAGGTGGAGGCCGTCAGCAGCATGTGGCCTTCCTCCGACAAGGGCTCCAAGGTCTGCAGGCCTCGGGCTCCGATCGGCCTCGATCGGCTGCGGTCGAAAGAAAAGAGGTCACCGGTGTAAGTGGAAAAAGAAGAGAGGCACACTGGATAGAGAAGGAGGAAAGAAAGGAGCTATTTTTTTTATACTGTATCGGTTTAGAGATGAAGTTTGGCAAAAAACAGAGAGAAGGAAGAGAGAAGAAGCACATTGGATACTTCCCCAATCAAAAACTCATCCCTCGGTGCTTTCGTCTTTCCTCGGGCCTTGATGAGGCCGGTGGAGGTCCAGTCACAGGGTCCTGGACCTGAAAGGACCCGTCAGGGACCCCCGTCAGGGGTCCTCGGTGAGCGAAAAAGGGTCTCAAGCATTTTGAAATGACTGCAGTGTCCACGCAAATGAAGAACCATGATGACCAGCAAACTCCGAAAAGCAGGATCAGTGCCCTCCTCTCGAGTCTTCCATGATCTAGGCCGCAGCCAGCGGTTCAAGGTGCAGTGCTTTCCAAGGTCCGATGGCACGACCCCCACAATGAAGGTCTATAAACCACCCAACCACCCAACTTGGGCGCCAAACACCTCTGAACCCACCTGCTTCGGAGCTTTCCCTTGACCCCGCCAGTCACGTCTGCCTCGGAGGCCTTCCGAGAAGAGCGGCGTGCACTGGAACTTCCACACCGGAGTGGCCGAGGACGCGACTCTTCAGTGGACTCCCGCGCTTCATGAGACGGGGGAAGCGCGGGTAGGCGTTGAACACGGAAGAGTACAGGTCGTTTTGATCTGAAGAGAAGTTTCGAAGACATCTCCAAAGTGGTGCAAGACTTCAGGGGTGGATGTTTCTTTTTTCCCCTAACAGTAAACCCAAACAGTTTACTGTTAGGGGTTCTCAATGCTTTAAAGAATGGTCGCCTTGGTGCTGGATGATCTGGTCGTGTTCCCGGCCGGCTTGTCTCCCACTTCTTTTCATTTGTCTCCCGGTTCTTTTCATTTGTCTCCCAGGCTGGGTGCTTGTGGTCGGGTTCCCGGCTGGCTTGTCTCCCACTTCTTTTCATTTGTCTCCCGGTTCTTTTCATTTGTCTCCCAGGCTGGGTGCTTGTGGTCGGGTTTTTGGCTGGCTTGTCTCCCACTTCTTTTCATTTGTCTCCCGGTTCTTTTCATTTGTCTCCCAGGCTGGGTGCTTGTGGTCGGGTTCCCGGCTTCCAGCCGGCTTGTCTCCCACTTCCTTTCATTTGTCTCCCACTTCTATTCACTTGTCTCCCAGGCTGGGTGCCTGGGGTTTCCAGCCTCCCACTTCCTTTCATTTGTCTCCCACTTCTATTAAGATGTGTCCGCCCTTTGTGTCACTGCTGGTGTCCGCCCATTTCCACTGGCCATGTAGCATTTCTAGTGTCCGCCCTTTTCCGCTGGCCATGCAGCATTTCTATTCATGTGTCTCCCAGGTCTGTCACACTGGTGGTGTCCGCCCTTTTCTGCAGGTCGTGTAGCATTTCTATTCATTTGTCTCCCAGGTCTGTCACTGCTGGTGTCCGCCCTTTTTCACTGGCGATGCGACATCTATATTCACTTGTCTCCCAGGTCTGTCACTGCTGGTGTCCGCCCTTTTCCGTTACCCATGTAGCATTTCTATTCATTTCTCTTCCAGTTCTGTCGCTGCTGGTGTCCAGCATTTCTATTAGGTCTGTCAGTGGCGTTGTTGTCCGCCCTTTTCCGTTGGCCATGCAACATTTCTATTCATTTGTCTCCCAGGTCTGTCGCTGCTAGTGTCCGCCCTTTGCCGCTGGCCATGCAGCATTTCTATTCATCCGCCCTTTTCCACTGGCCATGTAGCATTTCTATTCTTTTGTTTCCCAGGTCTGTCACTGGTGTGTCCTTGTCTATTGGCCATGAAGCATTTCTATTCATTTGTCTCCCAGGTCACTCACTGCTGGTGCCATGTAGCATTTCTATTCATTTGTCTTTCAGGTCTGTCACTGGTGGTGTCCGCCCTTGTCCATTGGCCATGAAGCATTTCTATTCATTTGTTTCCCAGGTCCGTTACTGCTGGTGTCCGCCCTTTTCCGTTGGCCATGTAGCATTTCTATTCCTTTGTCTCCCAGGTGTGTCACTGCTGGTGTCCGCCCTTTTCCGCAGGCAATGCAGCATTTCTATTCATTTGTCTCCCAGGTCTGTCACTGCTGGTGTCCGCCCTTTTCCGTCGGCCATGCAGCATTTCTATTCATTAGTCTCCCAAGTCTGTCACTGTTGGTGTCCGCCCTTTTCCGCTGGCGATGTAACATTTCTATTCATTTGTTTTCCAGGTCTGTCACTGCTGGTGTCCGCCCTTTTCCGCTGGCCATGCAGCATTTCTATTCATTTGTTTCCCGGGTCTGTCACTGGTGGTGCCGCCCTTTTCCGCTGGCCATCTTTTTGTCTTTCAGGTTTGGTGCCTGCACTGCTGTTTTCTGCCCTGTCCGCTGGAACAGGTTCACCTGTGAAAGGTTCTTGCTCCTTTGAAAGGGGTGCGTGACTGTCTCCGGGATTGCATTCCTGCCACACTGTGTAACTCTCTCAGCTTTGTTTTCCTTTCGGGCAAGCGTTGGATGAATGACCGGATTGGATTTCGGCGGTGTGGCAGCGATCTCTCTGTTCAGTTGGGACGGAGGGCATACGTCAGGCACCAAAAATCAACTTCATGTCACATCCTTCGCTCCTCATGCTTTTAATTCTTGTGGTCAGCTCCCCGCTGATTGAGCAGCATGACCAGCATCATGTTCGCACTTGAAGAATAATTCTCCAAAAGGTTTTCTGTTGGGGTTTCTCAATTCTTTCTTAAGATGTGTCCGCCCGCTCTGTACTGCTGTGTCCGTCTCTGCCTTGCAATCCTTTACATTTGTCTCCCAGCTCTCCCAGCTCTGGACGTCGCAAGCTCTAGTTTCGATCTGTTTGGGGTCTACGGTGGTGTAATTTTTTCGGGGTCATTTGGGGCCATTTGATCAGTTGTGCCTGAGCACCGTCTTATGTGTGATGTACTGGAAGCTCGACCACTTGGAGGTGTACCACAAAGGGAGAATGACCAGAAACCAAGTGGCGTCCACTCATCCAATTGCAAAAACAGTTCAATGTCTTCCCCCCTCTACCAAGTATGAGACCTACAGAATTGGTATTTGCTCTTTTGGCTCTCCATCATCAACTCCGTGGTGTGGTGGCTCATCCTTGAGCCTAAAACAATGATGTTGTTCTCCCTCGACGCGGTACGCTATCTCCCTTTTGTGCACTATTTCGGCGCAGCAGTCACATGGAGAAACCGATCTGCCAATTCATCCACTGCGAGCTGGTCAGCTGTCACCCTTTTTGGAAAAAAACACGACGTTTTTTTTCAGGTTTGAGAGTAAGCCTCAAGTACTCTTCCCTTATAGGAGAGGAAAGAACACGTTGGCATCAGAGGATTTCCTGGGCCATATGACGTTTACTGCGCCTGTTCAAACCACTTGGGATGCAAAAGAGCTCTACATGGAGTGTGAAGCCGCGAATCCTTCCATCCATCCGCCGCGGCGACAGGACGAGCCCTACCGTCGTCTCTTGATGGCCATCCGTCGCCGCTGCTGGCGTACGAAGGTGTCCATGGAGGCGCGCCGCTTTTCGAAGGGCCGGGCCGCAGCGAGTGGGTGATCCAAGAGTTGGGTTAGTTGGTTACAGGTGGGTTTCAGAGGTATGTGGATCCATGGGATAGGGGAGGTGAGAAATGGCACATGTTTTCTCTCAAGAGTGGGTGGTTTTAGTTTAGATAGATCCCCGATCTGTCGACAAGACGTGTTGGGTGGTGCCAGTGCCATCGAACCTCTGAAACCACTGTAAGTGCATCTCCCACTGGTTGGGTGTTGAACTTAACCCTCAAAGCGGCCAGTGTGTGTACCTTTTGGAATCAGAGGGAGTTCGTTGGACTTCTTTTTTGCAGTCTCATTCTGCAGGAAGATCACCCACGGACTTGACCGGTGATCCAACGAAGAGGGTCAAGTTCCGTGCTGACTTCTGGCATGATCAGCCAGACGTGCCTGCCATTTGGTCTATAGAGTTTCAGACTGTTTCGAGTTCGAAGAGGTCGTGCTGCAGTAGAGGGCCGATGCACTCCATGACTTCTGCACTTGGAACTTGAGGGTTTGGAACCGTAAGACCTGTTTGGTGTTTAGGCCGCATTGCGTAATACCTGTTTTACACCTCTTTTCCCAGGCTTCCGTGTGGCATGTGGCATTCAGACAGGGTCGTTCCATCATGCCCGATTTGCACCATATGTGCAAATGCAGGTGTTTCAGTGATATCAACAACAATTCCCAGCCCGACCTTTTCCGCGACCTCTTGGCAGAAACCGAAGAAGGTGCCGCCCTCGGAACGTTGAAAGACGATCCTTCAACCGACCGACCGCGTGACGTGCCGAGCGGCGTGCCGAGCGGAGTGCTGAAGCGACGAAGCGACCGACCGCGACGAAGCGACACCGGCAGGCCTTGTATTTGGGCAAGCAGGCCGACCCAGAGTTCCAGAAAGAGGTGATCACCAGTGCCGAGGATCGGGGTGGGTCGATTCTCTGGTTGGAAGTGGAACGAGACAGAGGGCAGGAACGAGACACTACTATAGGCGTTCATGCTGAGTAGTGCAGTGATGGCCCTGTGGCATAGGAGGGATGACCATCTTTGTGGCGCTCGCACGTAGCATCTGCCGAACCCCCCAAGGAAGCGAGGGCCTCCACCCTGGTAGCGACACCCTCCAACCTACTAGCGATGGCCGCACAGGAGTTGGCTCGACCATTGGAGATCATGTACCGCGCGGAAACCCAGCAAGCCCGGCCGTAGTCATTCAACGAGCCTCAAAGCGTTGGCCAGGCCACACACAAACATACATACTCGTAGGAGCATAAATTCAGGGATGTTATATGGTGCATTAGCCCTTTAAGCCGAGGTCTCCTCTCGATTTGCAGTTGACCCCTGCCATTTCCCCTGCCGACTCGGCTGGACTTGGCGACACGTCTTACCATCTCGGCACCTCAAGAGGCCCAGACATCAGCAGTTTTGCCCCTTCTCAGCGGTGAAACCACCGCGGAGAGACCGGGGTGAGCAGGCTGTGCAGCCCCCAAACCATGCACGATCCTGCATCCTTCGCCTTTGGAGGGCCCGGACTCATCCAGACTCGTGGGTCGGTCTCCGAGCCTTCAGGCTCCTTGATCGAGCAGGGCGACGAGTTGGTGGCCAACGGCCGCTTGCTGGACCTGATCCGACGAGTGCGCACCTTTGGCATCAGCGCCCTGGGCCGCAGTGGAGGTAGACACCGGTGCGTCGAGTCGTGCACCGTGCACCACCGGTCTCCGACGCTGCGAAAACCGGTGTAGAGCGGAGTCGTAGAGCGGTGTCTTGACTCGGAAGACCCACATTTCTTGACGATCCCATAGTGGAACATCGACGACAGACATGACGGGGGATGCGATTGGTGGTGGTGAAGGAAGTACCTGGCCTTAGAGATGCACAGGCGTTCAATGGATCATAATGGATCCATTCTTTTCCGCTCTGGGCCAATGACGCGTCTTTAAATGAACATGTAGAAACTCTTTGGACACGTAGTCTTCACATGTCTTCCCCTTTATAGCACTCTTGCGCCAAGCTCAGGGAAAACGACCCTTCCCCATCTTCTGGTGTCATCACTGCAGAACACCTCGGTCTCGGTCGCGGCCCGCGGCCCGCGGCCCGCGGCCGCACGCCCGTGCAGGCATGGCTTGCCTGGATGTGCGTCAGGAATCGGATCGACACTCCGAGGTGACGAAACGAACGCGAAGAAGCGTCGCGATTCGCGAAGCGGAGGGTACGTTGCAGGGTCCAAAGGACTCGATCTTTGCAACCCTTCCATGGGTCATTTGTTTGGGCAGAAAGAACCACACCATGGGGTTGAACACTTAAACAGGTGGAGAGGACACCCCCAAATTGTAGGGTCCTCGTGCAGTCCAGACACTGCAGTCGCGTGATGGTCATCGGGGCCATGCAGTCGCGTTGCCTTTTTTCACAGGTCATGGACACCTTGACCAGCTTCTTGGACCTCGGCAAGTTCACCGTGTCTCGGCGTGTTCTTCGCCCGTCGGGCGCCCAGGAGTGGATGGGGCGTTTTCGGGGTTCGAGTTCGGGAGTTCGAGAACACGGAGAGGGTGGTTTTGGGGTCGATTCTGAGAGTCTATGACTACCAGGTGGGGTGACATCATGAGTCGTTGGAAGTTCCGGGTTTGAAGCATCCCTTTTTTTTGCAATCCCCTCCTGTTGGCGTTGATGGGGATTGGTTGAGAAAGACCTGGGTCATACCTTTTTGTGGAAAGCAAGGAGAATCCTAGTCCTAATCCTACCAAGATTGATTGAAGGCCTCCAAGAATTTTTCTTCGAGACCGATGTGGGTTGACTTGCTCCACGTATGTTCGGCAATAGAAGTGCCATGTCCTCACGCTGGGTGCCACCAGGAATGGACCGAGCAGCAGCGTTGCGAGTGGCTGGTGAAGGACCGATGTTACTTCGTTGCCCGAGACTCCTCATCTTCCGGGCGAATCCATCGCTGCCTGCTTCCCCTCATTCGGAATGCGCGCGTTTGAATTCGAAGGTGACAGTCACATCAAGTATGCTGCATGCTCTAAGAATGTGACACTTTTTGAGGGACTTCTGTGAACCCTATCTGCCGAACCAAAGAGCCAGAGTCGAACCAAAGAGCCAGAGCCGAACCAAAGAGCCAGAGCCGAACCAAAGAGCCAGAGCCGAACCAAAGAGCCAGAGCCGAACCAAAGAGCCAGAGCCGAACCAAAGAGCCAGACCCCCCACAACAGCCCCGAGTTTTGGCGACACTTCTGGTTCTGACATGGTTTTGGCAGGGTAAGGCAGGGTGGGGTGTGCAGGTCCCGGGGCAGGTGGTTCATTTTCCTACCCCGTCAGTTCCCGAAGGGTTTGCCCACTGACAGAACAGCTGGAGTTCGTTCGGTTCACCTTTTGATTTGTTCGGGATGTCCGGCATTTTGAGGGGCCCTCCGTTCTTGATGGGGTTGCCATCTTTCTTCACCCGAACCCCTCGGGTGACGTCCCCGGCGAGTTCCGTGGCCACGCAACGCTCCGTTCGCCGTGTGGGAACCGACCTCTCGGAGCGATCGGAAGGAGATTGAGTCCAAGCGGCCCTTGCTCCCAGATGACATGCCCATGAGTGATATCGTGAAGGAGATCCTGGACACCTACAAGGCCCCGAAGATTGCATCACAAAAAGGACGACTGGAGATGCAATTTCGGTGACTGGAAGATCTCCGGATCGAGGGCGATCCAATCTGTGTCTTTTGTATATTATAGATTATACCAGCACCTTCAAGGGGGTCACCAATGGAAGCCCCTACACCACTAAGGGACCTCCATTGGACACCCCTTGAAGGTCCAGGTATATAATAAGAGTTTCACATTGTAGCTGGAACTCTGCCCAATTGCAACCTGCATCCTTTGTTTGGATGTCCTGTTGATGCGTCCTGACGCCCGTTATTTTCCCAAGCACCTCGCCTGCCTGTGACATGTTTCTTTCCACGGTTTTTTTTCTCTTATCATCACTGTTTGTTCAACCTAGAAGCATTGGCCTCCAACCTAATGTATAATCCTAACAGCAATGGCCTCCCACCTAGAAGCGATGGCCTCCCACCTGGAAGCAATGGCCTCCAACTTTTCTTTTATGATTATATGCAATGTACTACTAGTATATATATATATATAAGCAGGACTGTACTGCGCGTGTCACTGAGGTATCTGCGGCTCCTGCAAAGACTGTTGAATTTGCTGAACATTTGAAAGTAACATGAATACAGTCAAGTTGAATATACTATATCTTTGTGTGTGGTGTTGTGCCTTGTTTGTGCCTTGTTTGTATCACTCGACCGTACCACATGTGGACTCTGGGACGCGCGTTCGGACGGCCTCGGCGACTCCGTGCCGTTCCGTGCAGATCATCTCCGAGCTGCCGAGCGAAGCCCTGGGCGCCTATGTGATTTCCATGTCGCGCGTGCCGTGGCGTGGGGGGTTCGGGGTGGGCAACGGATCCAGTGGAGACCATGAATGTGGTAGAAACCTGTGGTACGCCTATCCCAACTTGTCGATAGGTGTTGGCCGACCAGAAAGAGGCTCAGTAAGATGGAGACGGGAAGCGGCCGGAAAGGTATTTTGTTGAAGCCTTTTAGGAAGCTCTGGGCTCCCAACACTTGGAACAGGATTCCGGCGGTGTTTGGGTGTTTGGCCGATTTTTTAAAATGGCACTTGACGGCACCTGAAAGGATTTGTCTGAGAGATTTTGCCTGAAAATGGCCATGGTGAACGAAGAGGAGAGGGCTCACTACAAGCCGTAAACGAGGCTCACGAGTGGACCCTGTGCCACAAACACCTCAAGATTATCGGTCGGTGCACTGACAACTGAGCAGACAGCTCTGACAACTGAGGCAACCTCTGACATCTTGGCGGTGTGCTTGTTGCAGAAGCTGGGAGGCAGCCTCGGTGGGGATGAAAGCCTAGCAGTGGGAAATGAGTAGATTTGAGCATTCAACTAACCCTTGGTTTAGCTGAGTTTAGTGGTGGAGTTGTTACGTCCGCAATTCCCGGAGTCTACCTTCTTGTTAAGAGGGGAGGGGAGGAATCTGCCTTGGTTTGAGCTGTCACAACCCTCCATGTGTCCCCAAGCATCATCATGACGCAGGGCTTTTCATGGAACCTTTCCATCCACATTGGACACCCCGTCAGGTGGCCCCCTTTGGGGTTTGGATGGTTTCTGTTCCCTTTGGCCAATGGGGGTCGATCTGGGGTCTCCCTGTTTCCACAGGCCAACCATTGAATGCTGTCCACACAGGCCATGTGCATGTGCACCGCGACAGATAGGGTCTATCGGGTCTATCGGGATATCGGACACAGGCAGAAACCTAGCCGAAGATTTCCCGAAATTGGTGCGTTTTTGGGGAAAATGGGAGACCCCTGAAGGGTTGATAGTTGGATGTTTGTTTGCAGCCTTGTGCCTCGTGGTAGAGCAACAATTCACCAGCTAGTGTGGGTATATGTGGATGTTTCTTCGCCGATGCCACACAGGTATATCTACTAAGCCCAAGCCAAAGCCCTAGAACCAGACTCCATACACACAAACTTTTATGCATCCACCTTCGGATGTCGACGGCGTGTCAGACGTCGCACGTCGCACCATCATCCAATCGGGCTCGTGCGAACCCTGGCGAAGCGAGTGGCCCCCACCTGCTGCGAATCTGAACAACTCAATCGAGCCATGATGAAGGCACTACAAGACACATTGCTGACAGACATTGTTTAATATATATATATACCCTCGGACTCACTGACATGGAAATTGAAACTTGCCTTTGGGAAGACTATGTTCCTCTACAACCAGGGTGGTTTCCAGTTATATATTAGTGAGTCGAGTGTATATCTCATGTACTTACCCTAATTTGGTGGATATGCAGAAATACACCACCATGCACCCACTCAAAGATTCTGGATCTTCATGCAGCCTCCGTCCAAGTTGAGACTTCCGCAGCTTCCATACACTTGCACCCACATCACCCTCTTTTCTTTTGTCAGGCGTGAAGAAGATGATGCGTGTGGCACCCCTCTTCGAGACCCGCGAGGACCTGATCAATGCGCCCAAGGTCATCGATGCGGCACTCAGCGTGGGCTGGTACAAGAATCACGTGCAGGCTGGCACCACACAACCCTCTTGTCGGGACCGAGACAGCACGGACGTTGGTTCCGAGGACGTGACCATGCCGCCGCCCACGGCCACGTTGAGTTGACTCGCAATTCGACTCGGTCCGAAGATCTTCCGGGAGGGAGGGCAAAACATGAACGACGCCGTCTTTGACGGCGAAGTCCTCAATGTGTCTTGAGCCGGGTAATCCATGTTGTGTCTTGCGACCTCCTCGACCGTGTTTGAAGTACGCACTGTACGCACTGTACTTTGTAAAAAGGGAACCAAAAGAACAGAAGGGAAACCCAAAGGACTTGGACGTCATATGTTCCCTAGAGTCTATAGTAAACCAAATCACGGCTTTGGACGCTCTATCTTGGGAAATCCTTTCACTCTGCTCAACCCTTCTGAGCTTCGACCAAAATTAGAGCTCTGATGACAAGATGATGGAGAAAAGCGAGACATCGCAGAGCGATTCCTTTAGGGGCTGTTTCTGAAGTTGAAGACGTACTGTACACGGCCGGTAGCGCACGGACAAAACGGCAGAAGGTCTATACTATGAGCCTGGCCCATGACAGACTTTTGAGAGAGGCTTTTGATGCTGTAGGGCCCAGGGGGTCCATGAGCTAGGAGGAGGTTTTCAAGGGACTCAACCCATCAGACTGTGGAAGTGATCCAGGAGACTTGATGCTGAACAACCACAAGGGGGGCAGACTACTGTAACTTTTTGGCACATGTGGCAGACTTCATCCAGAACCATCGTAAGGTCGGAAAAAACCATGGACCGGTAGACCATTCCGTTCATTGTCGAAAACCTGGCTAGCCACGGGATGTAAGGGTTTTGCAGCGTCAGGGCAAGCAGGAGGTCATGCTGGGATACTCCGACTCCGTGAAGGACGCAGGCGCCGGTCGGCGAAGCTGTCGGTGGCGTTCAGAGTGGTTCAGGTGGGTAGGTTGGTGGGTTTGAGAGATGAGAAATGGCACAAGGGCCCCCCAGTTGGGTAGTTTAGTAGTAGACCCCCAGATAAAGGACATGGTTGGGTGCCAATGCCATTTGCTCTGAAAACCACTCTAGGTTGGTCGGTTGGATCAGGTAGCCCTAACTGAAGTTGATTTTTTGGTCGCCTGGCTGCCACATGGTCCGCATTGCTTTCACGGATGTGCAGCACTCAAAGAGGCACAGTGATACCACGAAATATTCGACCATCTTGCAGTCAATGTTGAATTCGGCCCTTCTTTGAGTGTCATGAGGAGAGCTTGAAGGCTGTCTTGTCAGGTGTCTGTCTTGTCGCGGGGATTGAAGGTGCTCAACGACTTGGGGCAGGAACCCTCGGTGGAACGGTGGAAACTGATGACTTCCGCAGGAAGAGGACGAACTCCCCTTTTTTCGAACTTCCCCAACTTTGGAAACTGGGCAACCCATGAAACTGTGCGCGTTAGGTGCTTTTTTTTTCCCTTCAAAGAGGGACTCCTCAGATGAATGGCACATGCGATCCATCGTTTTTGACTCCTCTCACAAATGGTGGCATTTCAATCAATAATCAATGGTTTATGTATATTTTTAAAACAATGTATAGTACATCACGCTACTCAGATGGCATATGGAAAAAGAACGTAGCTTTATGCCACCTACCCTGTGTGCCAACAGTTGGCGATCCACTTAGTTTAAGTGTGTGTGTTCTTTTTTTAAATCCATGTTCACTGTTCACCCCATTTGCCCGGTGCTTCCCTGAAAAACGCATCACGTATTGGAACATGCGGTGGGCTTTCGGCCCAGCGTATCGCCGAAAGCGTCTCACCCCGCCCTCCTCTACTAGGCAAGTTCGCGTCCACCTGGGAGCTGCACTGCGCCATGGAAAACCTGCTGGAGGTGGGTGGGACACCGGACCTGCTGGGTACTTCTGACACGGTCTCTCACTTAGGACTGGTGCGGCGTTCCCCCCCGTCCGAAACGGCCACGTGCCCAGCCAAGGCGAAGGCGAACATGCGCCCTGAGGGGTGAGCCTCCAGAGACTTCGAGGATTCTAAGTATACCCTAGGCTTCCTGGCCAACCATTATTTTTAAATGGTTTTATCGCATTAAGGATTTTACACTACAAAGACCAGGTCCACCATTTGTTAAATGGTCTTCCCTATATATATATATATATAGCGTTGACCCCTTGGGGTAAATTGTAATGGGACAATATATATATAATATATGTAAGTTCACCCAATGACCTAAAAACCGTTGAAAATCGAAGATTCGAACACCATTCGTACAGCCTCCATCGACACCTCGATGATCTAAATCAAGGCGACGGTTGCATCCAAGTCGCTGCCTCAACCGAACCAGCGCGCGCACGAATACAACACCGGCGCCGTGTGGCGCCGTGGGCACCACCAGGTGGGCAAGAAGCATGGCGTGGCCATCACCTTCTTCCATGGACGCGGCGGCTCGATTGGCCGCGGAGGTGGACCTCCGAACATGATTCTGCTCGCGCAGCCTGCAGGATCCTTACAGGACCGGGTGTTGCGCGTTGAGCAGCGCAGCGAGCAGAACAGCGTGGAGCAGCGTTGGTTGCAGCAGAGGTGTTCGGTGGTTTTCGGTGGTTTTCGGTCTGTTGACTGAGTTGGAGCTGCTGGATCCAAAGCGAAGGATTTGGTCAGTAGTAACGAGGGCTTCGCTACTAGCAACAAGGGCATCGGTTTTGTTTTCGGTTTGGGCCGTCTCAGCAGTCTTTGTTGCTGGCGACATCACTCAAAACTCAATCACAAAGGACTTGATGAGAAATAGAAACTATATACACCCCCAGATAGAAAGGTAGATCCCCACATAGAAAATGGATTGGACACCGTGCAATACTATCTATTTTCTGGACCACTTCTAATTCTATATAATTCTCATCCATTCCATTTCTTTTTGCTTACCGGGCCGGACAAAGACCTGACCCTGACCGACCAGTTGTGCCCGGTTTTGGGAGCGAGTGGAGACACTCATGTCGGTGGACTTTCCTTTCGGTGGACGTTTTTCGTTTTTGTTGCATAACTGTCCCATTTGGATTGATTCACTTGACACACCTCTTCAGGCCTATTCAGGAAGTCAAAATACAAGCAACCGTCTACAAAATTGGTGACATCGAGTGTCTTATTTGGGGTGAGTGTCTTTGATTCTGTCCGTGGCACAGATGGAGGGGAAGATGTTGGGGAAGATCAAGGCCATAGCCATAGCCAGCCATAGCCAGCCATCAAGACACTCGCTTCCGCCGGGGCATTCGGACCTGGACGGACCTTCTTCTCCGAGTGGAGCCGACCCTCACCGAGACCCAGAGCGGTCGACCAAAAAGCTGGTCGACAGTTGAATACTTGTGAATACTTAGTACTTGTGATATGTTTCATCGGCGACCTAGAATAGACCAGACTTGGACCAGACTTGGACGCACCTTCCGGGCACCTTCCGGGTGCCGTCTCGTCGGAAAAGACACCGGAGCCTCCATCTCTGCCCCCGGACCTCGGGGCGCGCCGCTTGCACCGCCGGCACGCCAGAACGGTCACTTGCGCCTCACCATCCAGGGCGAGACCATTGGGCGACACTTCCCGAGCTGCGAGGCTGGGACTGACTGAGACGCGAGCTGCGCGTGGAGATCTCTCTCTCTCTCTCTCCCTCTCTCTGCTCTGAGGTGATCTCCATGGGTAAGTAGTCTCATCATTCTCATCCACGTGTTCATGAAAGGATTCTATTTCATGAACATGGGAATCACTTACATGCAGCTTCTCTGATCCTCCCGTCACAAGCAAGCAGTCTTCGTGCTCACGAGATCAGTGCAGTCGAGGTCGTGCTTGAGGCAATGAAGCAAGCATCATCCAAGAGTAGGCCAGCTCGCGATACTCTAATATTAGCAGGCATGAACCGTGGGAGAAGAGACCTTTGTGACGCTTGTACAGGCTTGTCACTTGGTAAGTCTTGCACCGCCGCCATGAGGGATTGGAAGGCGGTCGCATTCGCTTTGGGAGCCGTGTAATAGCAATCACGCGTTTCGATTTTGGACATCCTTGCACTGTGAGTCATAGTAGGTGAGCACAAATCAAGTGCTGTGCAAGAGACTCCATTGTACACATCGGAGACGCAGCCTTTTGCCATCATAGAATGCCTCGTCTCCGATGTGTACAGGCCGGGTGGTTGCTTTCGGGCCAACGGTTTGCCACACTGGAGGACTTCTCAGCACTGTTCTTGGTGTTCGCCACCTTTCATGCAGGCAGCTGGGGGCACATCACCTCAACCAAGCCCAAGCCGGAGATGGGTTTTATGCCTCACAGCTGCTCTGGGGTATCTTTGACTAAATCAAGGACGACCCTGTGAAGAAATGCCTCCCTTCATCCTCGATCCACTCATTCTTTTGGTGCACTCGCTGCCTTGGCCATGTCGGCTCTGCCCGTTGCTCCTGGTGGTGAGGACTTCTGTGCCCAGAGCAGGCGGATGACGTGTAGCCTCGAGGGGCCTTGGAGACCAACTTGGAGACCAACGTTTCTTTGATCATGTGAGGGAGCTTCCCGGGAAGCCCCAAGAAGTATCAATGCTGAGAGTTGCAGAGTCAGTTGCAGCGTGTAAAAAGATGCAGCGCAAGAAGTCACCAGGAGCAGGTTGCGCCTAGAAGTCACGCCCAGGGCTGACTGTGATCCAGGCTGACTGTGATCCAATTCGGTCTTGAGGCCTCTTAGGGCTTTGGTGGGCCGAGAAAGAGCCGAGTTCGAACTCAGTGCCGCGTGGGCCCAAAAACTTGGACCGTTTCAAGCAGCAGCTCGCGCCTTGTGGTAGATGTGTCAAACCCTGGATAAACGCCAGGCCATCTCGACGGCAGAAACACAACACCTCCCACTACCCACTCAAAGAAAAAGTCGTCATTTTCTTGGACACTTCTCGCTCAGCCGCTTGCCAGCTGCCAGTCAGTTTGGCTTGCCTGCTGTGCGGAACTTCTCCGTGGCAGGTGGCGGAACGCACCTTGGAGCAGTACTCCACGGCGGTGCTGGAGCATACCCTGGCGCCACCGCCACTGCCCAAGCCGGAGTTCCGTGCCGCCATGCAGGCGTGATAGTCCAAACGGCAGAAGCGGGCGGTGGAAACGGCGGTGGAACGTCAGTGTGGAGGTGGTTGCTTTGAAGGTGGGGGGGGAAGTAGAAGGTGCGGAGAAATGGGAGTCATGGGGTTGGGATTGCGGGTGGTTGGTTAAGAAGTTGAAGAGATCCATCTGCATTCAAACAAATACATATTTCGAGAATCCTTGAGCATGGATCATTTTTATTCATTTTTATCTGACTTCGTCCCCATTCTGCTTGTTGGTGCCAGTTGCCTGATGCGGTTTGTGTTGGGAGAGGAGCTAGAACAACAAGAAGAGATCTGATCTCACACACCATTTTGGTATGTTTTCCAATGTTTTCCATTTTCTATCATTTTCAATTGTTCTGGAACTGTCCGTCAAAATACAGTCAAAGGATCAACATTTCGTACACCAGTGACCCGGTGAACCGTCGTGAAAAACGCCAACGCCAACGCTCCAACCAGCGCAGCGCAGCGACAGAGCGAACGCGAAGCATGGTCCAACCAAACCGGTCTCGGTGCGAAAAGGAGTTGTCTGATGTCTCGGCGGCTCACTATCAAAAGACCGTCTTCAACAGTGAGGCGGGGCGATAATCCGCTCCCGGACGTCATCTCGTCATCTGGGACGGAGAGTGGACTGGGTGCGCGGTTTGTAGGGGCGTCGTTTTTCTAAGAACACTAACGCAGCGTCACTGGTCCGTTGGGGGCTTTCATCGGAGCTTGGTAGGTGGTATTGCCGCCCGACCGACGATGCCTTTCGCTGCTCAATTGATTGAACATATATCTGCATATGCATCCTTGCCGAAACAATCCTACCCGCTGAATGTTCGAGTGATCCCTACTCTCTTGCCATCCACTGCCTCCCAGTGTGTAGCACCGTACCATAACATCTCTCTGGAAAAAGGTCAGAACCTTTATCAGCTGATTAAGAATTGCATTCGACAGAAGAAGTCCAGTCATCCCAAATTAGATCCGCTGCTGTGCTTTCGTTCGTGTTAATTCACCGTTGTGTCGTCACTGTGTCTTACACCAGTGCGCTGTATAGGGGTGGGTGTGCCACGTTTTGTTGATACTTGTTGCCGGTACATCACAACCCTCGTACGTACCCCACGGAACGGTGTGTGTGGGGCTGATTCAGCGGGGGCGAACGTGGATCGAGTGGGGCGTCGTTGGCATCGGGGGGTCTTTGTTTTGCGGTTGCCAGGGGCAGCCTGTTGATGTGAACATGTTTGGTTTAGGCAGATCTCCTCAGCCAGGCGTAAGGGAGAACCCTTGGTGCGATGGCAGAGGTTCCTTTTTCAGTTTTTCCATAAGATTCGTTGATCTAGAATCTGGAGCCAGTCTGAGCAGATCCAAAAGCAAACAAGCCCATAATTCTCATGAACTGCCACAGTGAAAAGCCTTGCAGGCGAACTGGGATGGACAAGCTATATATATATATATTACAACATTCATCAACATTCAATATACCTACTCCACAATACAAGATGGGGGCCCTCAGAAGCACCTAACACCAGATCCTTGTGTGGCTAAGTAAGGCACGTGACCTTCTTGGCTAGTTAGGCACCGGTGACCTTGGCGAGTAACGCACCGTTCCAGCGCGCCAGCGCGCGCTTCGCACCGTTCGGTGGCGCGCGCCACACTCCACCGGTGGCGCAGGGGGAGATTTTCGTTCGCTTCTTCCACACGTTCACACCGACCTCAGAGCTGGGACAGATGATGCTTGGGCCGGACCGACCACCGGACCGTCAAGAGGCCGGAGTCGAGTCGCCCCAGCATGGGCGAATTTGGGGCGTTTTGGGCGTTGGTTAAGCCATTTTGTTTAGCCCTGGGAAAGGACAGCATTGAGAGCACAAGACAGCCTATAAAGATGCTAGATAACACGCACATATGTCATATGTCGTGTTTCATCAGTTCATTGGAGATATTTGTTGCGATTCTATGGCGTTTCCATTTTATTGCTTGCTTTTGGCTGGTTCCGGAACATGTTGCTGAGCTGCTAGAGTTTTTGCTGTTCCCCCTCTTGCATGCTTGCTTCGGGAAATCATCATCCCGGCCTGGGCTTGCCGGTGGCAACTTACGCTAAAGGAAGCAGATCTAGTTCGTAGACCTGGTTTTTTTCCCAGTAAGCCTGTGACGAGACGTCGGGTTTCACTTGAACATCACCAAAGAAAGGAGATGGATGGAAAGGCCGGCAACCAGGCCCCATCGCCATCCACTGTCGATCGACTCCAAACGCACGCACGTAGATCGATGAAAAGGTGTGTTCTGACCGCACGTCCTTCGCTCCTGAAGGTCCCGTCCTTCGCTCCGTGTTTTGCGGTTGTCCAACGGGTGGGTGGCCATCCGGTGGGTGGCGGTCCCGTCCGGGGCCTGCTTTTCATTCCAAGCTCGATCGGAACACATCCTGGTTTGGTGGATAGATGAATGTCCATGTCCATCTCCTGGGACTCCCTCTCCTGGGACTCCTGGCTGGGACCCCCCGAACCCCGAACCGACAAGGGGATGATAGATGACTTGCTGGAAAGATCCGATCCACGTATCCACGGATCTGACCGCGGCACCGGCCTCCTTTGTGCGCCTGACACGGACACCGAGGAACATCGGCTCGCGGCCCGCGAAGCGACGGTCCTATGGCGGGATCGACACGTTGCTTGGAGCGGCCAGGGCACCGGTTTCCGGCCAGCGGCGGCCTTCTGGGACTCAGATTGGGTGAGTCCAACTGGCAGTTTCCGCTCCAAATTCCACTGGGAGATCTTGTTTCAAGCCTCAAATGACAAGTTACATAGGGAAGATCTCATGTTTTGGACCAAAGAACTCACTTAGTCCTGGGCTGTAAAGAAACCACCTCTTGGAGGTTGGTGTAAGGGAGCTTTCAGATGAATATGATGAATGTGACAATTTTGGGAGGCATTTTACATCATTTTACTGTAGCTTCTTTGAATTTGTCGGGTTGTTCATGAGTTTCGTTTTCAGTTCTGAGTGCAGAATGAGTTTGTGGCCTCCGTCCCTCCTCCGGTCCGCCGACCGATCAGGCTGCGAGCCATCCCCTGGATCTTCGCTTGGACGCAGACGCGGCTCCTCTTGCCTGTCTGGCTGGGCCACATGGTCCAAAACGGCGCCCCACGTGAGGACGTGAGACGTACTGAGAGTCACTGGAAGAGGTCTTTGACCGTCTTTGTCTGTGAGAAGTCAGCGATCGATCTAGGCAACGTAGCTGCTGAAGCATTGGGTCCCCAAATGGTGATGATTTGGAACCCAAAACTCTTTCATTTGACAAGGTTTTGGATTCTTCCCTTCCTAAGGAGTCCTAGGGGCTATATAGATGTTTGGGCAACACCCAATCTGGCACTGAGGTCTTGGGCCATGTTTTCAGTATTGCCAGGTGATCTTTTTTGAAGACACACTCAGGTCTGAACCCAGGTGATTCAGGACGCCCAGACTGGACATTCTTGGCATCAGACTGGGAGTTCCGTTGAGGAAATCTCACACACTTCTGGTCTAAGTCTAAAGAGCTCTCGGTCTGTCTGCCCTACGGGTCCTGCCACGCCGGGTGAAACCTCCGGCACCGTTGAAACGACGGGGGGCACGTTTCGAAGTCGTTGACGGATGCGATCTGATTATCTGGGACTGGAAGAGATGTGCGAGGCATCCAAGACCAGATGTGGAGCCAAGGTCTGAAAAGCAGGCAGCAGGGTCGTTTGATCAATCAAGCATCCTGATGTCTTTGTGCACTTTCTTGAGTCTTTGACCTCCTGAGACGGGGACCGCTTTTCGGCGCTTGTTTGGAACTGCACCGGCGCGCGTCCGGGGCGCTGCCCCGCGCCGAGGCAATGGCCTTGCCCTTCAGAAGTATATCGATGGTGGGAAACTCCCATTGCTGCAGCAGATGTACAAAGACCGATTTCTGCTGGATCAGTAAGAAGCTACGAACGGGGCTCCTCTGGCCGTACTAGGAACAAAAGACGCTACGAACGGGGGCCCCGGTATGTCCCCTTTCTTGACGAAAGCGCATGAGGCGAAGAACCAGGTAGGAAGACGACGGGTCGTCTTCCCTTCAAGTCATCAAGGCATCCCGAAAACCAAAAAGAAAGAACGTGCCTGCAAGGCACTTGGGGTAGTTCTTTCCACTCATGAAACACAGAAATCTGGAAACTTCTCGAGTTCAGATTCCGCCAGGAATGGCCATTCTTCCGCTCCATGTTGGACCTCATTGACGTGGAGTTGGGCAAAGCCTCCCCGATGATCACCGAGCATTACGAGAGCAAGACCGTCCAGGCGGCTCTGAGGGTCCAAGGCATCGGACCTCTGACTGGATCGTTTGGCCAAGAAAAAGGTAATGTAGACGATTAATACACCCCCCAGGCCTGAAGAGGATGTTCAATTCAAATGGCGCCAGGGTTATTCATCAAGAGTCTACATTACAAAAAGGTGTACTATTATATCCCGGATGAACCTGATTGACCCCTGTTTTGGATCCCAAACACGGCCTTTTCCTCTCAAAACAGAGGTCAAATGGGTTCTAGGTCGATCTGCACTAAATGTGTCATCGATATGAAGAAAACGATCGATGACACATTTAGGACAGAAAAGAAGAGTGGTGAGATACCAAAGATGTGCGAAACCGGATGAATCCTCAACGTGTCAATGCAGTTTTTGAGTCTTGAGTATGTTCAGCTGTGTTCAGAGCGTGGCCGGAGCACAAACAAGCTATAGACACCCCTCAAAAACAATAACCTTGTTGAATCATGTCCTCTTCGTTAACCAGGGATTTTGGCAGACGCCCCTGTATCAATGCACTATAGTTATATATAGTATACATATAATATATTAATAGTAAAAACTAGCAGTAGCCACCACCCCCTCCTCCTCCTCCTGTCCTTCTCGTCGTCCTCCTGTTGCTCATCCTTTTCTCCTTTCTGTTTTCATGTCTTTTGTTCTTTTTGGTGACCTGTTTGTTGTGTCAAGTTTTTTGTTCTTCAGCTCAATTTCCTCCTCGTCCTACTTCTACTTCTATCCCTATTCTTTCTCGAAAGCTGCCAGTATGTGCTTTCTTGGCCCAAGCCTGTGCGCTGCGTGGCACACCTGACGCGATTCTTCCTTCTTTCTGTTTGCAGGTTCGTTCTTTACAAACCCCTACCAAAAGCCCCAGCAGCCCTAGCAAGACCCAAATGGGCTCCGTCTTCTCTTTTCTGATCCCTAGCAGACCTCCGTCCCGCATTCGCAGGACCCGGATCTCAAGAAGCTGGGTGCTGAACTTCGCGAGGGGCTCAACCAGATGATTACCAACATCCTCAAGGTGCGGTGTCCGACTCCGTGCCGCGCACTCGACTAGACTGGACTGCATGCAAAACCGTGCTTCGACTGGGAAGCCGAGGTAGATAGTCCATATTGGGATTATACTTTGGGTCAGTCCATGTCTGGCCTATTACCAGTAACAGTTGGTAAACAGAGAAAGGCCTCTACGAACCATCATCATCCACTGTTGATGGTAATGGGAAATACCCAGAGTAGAATACATTTTTCCGACTTTTCCTGTTTTATTTTATCGTGTCTCTTCCGGAGCTTTGTGAGGGCACCGAACACCGACCCGTCTCCCTGTGAACACCGACCGCCCAGACGAAGCCACGAGCTCGTTACCAGATACACAGAGCTAAGCCACAGAGCTGTCGGATCCTGTCGATTTGCAGAGCTCAGGGCCCCTCATGACAGAGCTGTCATGAGTCATGTTACTGAGAACGATCCTTCGGTTCGAACGAACAGCCACACGTGGACTGGATCCAGACCAGATCTTTCTCCGGATCCAGTCCTCGCGGACCGCAACAAGGCAGGCCCAAAAGCAGACGATTTTTCGGAAAGGACAGAAGCAGAGCTTTGTCCATATGAAAATAAACACATATACCAATATATACCAGGAGTCACAAGGTGAGGGGTGCCGAACGAACGGAGGTAGTCGGGGTGCCCAGCTACTCCACAGCCCCTGGCTGGGACGAGCCACACCACCCAATTCCATGTGACCCCTGGAATGTGTATTTTGGAGTCGCCTATTTTCACTCCCCTTGGAGCTTAGGGGGCGCCCTTTTCGGATCCCGTCCCCCAGCCCCCCCCCATGTCTCGGCCAGCGCGAGCTTGAGGTCAAGGGTGCCACGAGCCTCCTCTCCTCTGAGCCCAACCTGAAGATGGCCGGACCCCCCCGAGACGGGCATCGGGGGGCCTTCGGAGTGACGGGCTTCGGAGTGGAGCCACCGGAAGCCATCGCTGTTCAACGACCCGTCACCCAACGTGTTGACCGGAGGAGTTGGAGCCGTGGTGAGAGTCGAGAGGAGGAAGCGCGAATGAAGAAGAACGATGAGTCGAACGATGTCTGGATGAATCGGGGATGATATGAACTCTTAGAAACCTTCGAGTGCTACTCAGGGGATTGGTTCTGACACTTTCAAGCACACACATGCTCGTTTTGACAGCTCGAGCCCTCAACGCAAGCGTCACATTTCTCAACAACAGATAGATTGAATCAGGGACTTTTTGCTCACACAAGTTGGCAAATTGCTTTGTGCTGCATATAAACAACCATCCTGAACTAGATAGAATAAACCAATCCAAAAGTATGACCAGTTTCCTATATATGTTCTTTTTTGGATTGTCACACACGATTACTATACAAGTAACATATAAATATATAATAACATAATATTTAATTCGTTATTAGTGATAATAATAACAATAACACACACACACATGTGGCCTGTCGATTGTCTGGACATCAATCATGGCCCACCCCAAGAGAATGAGTCAGATGTTGTTCCACTTTTGGACGCGTGAAGTCCGGCCTCAGTGGAGTCTGTGACTGTGGGAGTTCCAAGCTCCCCCACACCATGACCGGCCCCACAGGTTTGGCTGCGACACAGAATTCCACAGCAAAGCCACGGGGATTGAACCCATTGTTGCTTTGCCATACCCGCTGTTTCCATGTGTTTCCGAGATCAGACATGGATAATCCGCATTGGGGCTGAGTGCATGCTCATCCCTTTGAGTTTAGGACATTTCAACACAGCATCCTGCCAGGCCATCAACATGCGCAAGCCCTACTTGGACACCACGCACGCGATCCAAGCAGAGGTGCTGAAGAGGCGCGCTATTTCCCCCCCGACGGACTCGGTGGAGACGGCCAAGCCTCTCTGGTTTTGGGAAGGAAACACACCTACAGTCCTACAATGCATTCAGAGGTGAGAAATGGCCACCCCAAGAGGTATTAGACAGATTGGGGTCACGACTAAAGCACCCTACTTGGGGGGCCCTTGTGCGATCTAGATACTCTGAAACCACTGTAATATGATCACCTGGCATCACCTAGCTTAACATAGCTTAACCAATGGCTGCTAGCTTGGCGGCCAACGTTTATCGGCTTCGCGGCTGCAGGTGGTTTTGTGAATTGACGCATCGGTGTCTTCCACTTATTCCCTCCCAAAAATCGGGCTTTGTTACTCAAAAACCTTTGTTCCCAAGTTCCCACATCAAGTTCTCATGTATATAAGTAGGAGTCTAGAATTCTTCGACTTGGTAAGCAGGATCATTTTTCAGTCATATCATGGATGATCCTCACAGGTGGAAGAGAGAGAGAGAGAGAGAGAGAGAGAGAGGGGGGGAGAGAGGGAGAGAGGGAGAGAGGGAGAGAGGGAGAGAGAGAGAGAGGGAGGGTTAGGTGGCGGTGACCCATAAAAACATTGATGGCTTGGTCACAAGAGTTCCCAAAAAACGTGGGCGGATGTTCCTCGTTTCGACGTCCGTGCTCCTTTTTCGACGGTCCGTGGCGAAGCCTCGACCTTTTCGTTCGCCGGGCGCGGGTCGAAGCGGGTTTCGAAGCGGGTCTTCACTCGTTCGCTCTCGGGTCGAGGCTTCGTGGAGAAGAGGGTGAGGTCGAACCAGAGTTGAGGGATGCGATGATCATCAGCATCCAAGGTGCGAAAAGGGATTCTGATGAGTCAAAGTCGCATCGCTGCCGTTTCGGCTTTGGAAGGCTTTCTGAAGGCCTTTTTGATTTGAAACCCTTGGACAAGAGCACCCTAAGATGGTTGGCCTTGACGCATTGACGCATGGTCTCAACTGTTTTGTAACAAGAAACATCCAGTGAACATCTGTCTCCCAAAGTACTGTTTTGGACAGACATCTTTTTCCAGCCAAAGACAACTCGACGGTATCGACGCTCAAACTGTTGTTTCTCAAACTGCTCCTTCAGAAAGCCAGGTATTGCGGCCGGCATGCAGAACACCGGCTGAGCGTGGCATCCACCAGTTGAACAAATCCCCCACATGAGTCAGCAAACGTTTGGACCTGGATCTTGAAGACCCAAACGAGTTGTCCCTTGATTTTGGTGGAGCCAAGATCGATTTCGACAGACTTTTCCTTGGGCTGCACGGAAGCCAACAGAATCTTTGCCAGGGCGGCCCCTTTAGGGCTGCCCGAGAGCATTCGTTTGGACAAGGATTAGATTGATTAATGTTCGTCCCGGCCTTTTCAGAGATTGACCTGGATCCCGCTGTTCGTAACAGCGTGTTGTTCACTAGGACAGGCTAGCAGAGACACATCAACTCGTCAAGAAACCTTTTAATTGTATAAGACACAGGTGAGTTTCTTTGGTTTGCTCCTCCAAAATGCCAAAGGCTCCGCGATGCATGTGATTGGCTAAGTGAGTTCATGGGGTTTCTACAGCTTCGAACAATCTAGGAAATTCTCGAGGTGTGGCTTTTGCAGTTCCTGTCATGCAACCAAGTCGTTGCGATTCTGCTCCATTTTTTCAGGCTTCAAAGTCTCCCTTAGCAAGATTTGTCAGCTCAGCAATCTGAGTCATTTGACCGAAGCCTGATATGCAAGATGTGGTGTGAGTTCGGTGCACATGACACTGCCAACATTTAATGGATTCACCAACCGCATCTGGGAGTTGGAGCTCCCAGCTATCAATGCGACCTCCGTCGCAAATTTTCAGGCGAAGACAATAGAAGCAACAGCTAGCAAAATCACGATTGCAGTTGTGCTTGTGGGCAAAACACTAAGGGACCTAAAAGATCCTAAAAGGCTGTACACATTCCCCAGTAGGCCACCTTTAATGTCCGGCCACAGGATTAATATCAAAAGGTTGTATCATTGTACATCATTGTACAATAACATCTAATCATATACTGACCAATACTCACAGTCAGCCAGGCCTGCTTTTTTCGAGTGCACACGTGACCGAGCGACCGGCCCCTTTTGTTTCAGCAAACTTGATTTCGTCCTGCCACGAGGAAGCAACTTTCAGGTGTATCGATGGGATTTCCTCAAAACGATCTCAGTGCTTAGTAGGGAATGAGGGTCTCTGGATCAAAAAGGAATCTCTACCAGGAGTCACAAGTCGGGGTGCCGAACGAACGGAGGTAGTCGGGGTGCCCAGCTACTCCACTCACTTAAGGACGAGCCACACCACCCAACTCCATGTGACCCCTGGTATTGACTTTCGTCGCACCCATCAGAAATGGTTTCGTGTGGTGCGATTTCCGCCTGGAGACGGGTCGAGACTCGGCGAGACTCGGCGCTTGCCGCGCCCGCGCCCCCCGTGTTTGGATGGTTCTTTTGATGGGTCGAGTCGTTGGAGACGTGTTAACACCATTCAGACGTGTTAACCAATTCATCACAGCGTTTTCTTCGCAGAAGAACACCTTCAACTCCCCCCTCCACAGCTGGTCTGAACATTTGTACGAAGACAAGCGAAAAGGAACGCTGGGTTGGAGACCAGAGTATCTTCCAGGGGTCACATGGAGTTGGGTGGTGTTTGGTCCCAGCCAGGGGCTGTGGAGTAGCTGGGCACCCCGACTACCTCCGTTCGTTCGGCACCCCTCACCTTGTGACTCCTGGAGTATAGTTCTTCACCTCAAAACCCAGTCCCAAGAGCTCTCCCTCACACCTGACGCCTCCAAGATGCCGTGATCGCTTCGTTCAAACCCTACCGCCAGGAGCGGGACATGTTTGCCCAGGCGGTGTCCCACTTCGTGGACGAGCGAAGGGAGGCGAGGCGATGAGGGTCTTGCATGAGGGTGGAGAAGGGTCTTTAATGAGGGTGGGTCTGTAATGAGGGTCTTTAATGAGGGTGGATTTCCCTCAGCTCATTGGCACAGAAGGGTGTCTTTTTCTTCCGATCCATGAGCCAATGAGCCAAGAACGAGACTCTCCCAAATAGATGACTCTCCCAATCGAGTCACCGGCTTTTGGACTTTCGGTCGCTCTTATCGAGTCACCAACGTCCCAAGAACGAGACGATGGTGACATTGGGTGCTTCCAACATGGGGGGCGCTCGCTTTCACTCGCTGCTTCACTACCCCACCCTGGTGGGAGTGGGACGCCGCCGCGTTTTTTCGTCCCTGCGGCCCGGTTCCCTCTTCTGATGCCGGACGCCTGGACGAAGAGAGGTGAAGAAGGGTGGATGGGCTGTGGAATCGTTGCCTTTTTTTTTAAAGGTACTGTACTAGACCACCTGTGAACAGCCGAGCCATGTGAGTAATTTAGGAACGATATATGATATACGTTTTTGAGTCTTGAAGTTCTGCATTCAATCCACTTAGCTGGGATCTATTCGACTATTCATGTGTCTCCAAAAGTATATTGAAGTCTTCAATGAGCTGAAAAAGAGTCTATGAACTTCACTCTTCTTGTAGAACTGAAAAAATCTACAGCCACTGTTTCAGATGTGCGGACGGTCTCTGGCCAAAGAAAAACTCAAAGGGGTTCGATCCAAAGATCGTCGGGTGCAGCCCCTCAGCCGTGCCCAAACGGACGTCGCTTCCCCAAACGGACGTCCGTTCCACCTGAACCACATCTTTTATAACCGTTTCTCCTTCTTCAGAATCTGCTTTTCGAGGACCAAACTGATGGCGCCCCTGAAGAGGATTGCCGACTGTTTTGACCGTCCCATGTTCGCCACCGTCACATCCACACAAGCCGCCTCAGCTCCCTTCCCAGGCTGGCCGCAGTGATGACCCCGCACTTCAGAAGGCTGAAGAACAGTTACGTAGGACGCAAAATCGACTCTCAGTGTGAGGCGCCGATGGTATCAGTCATTCTGGAAGAACCACCGAAGCGGCAGCTTCAATGATATCAAACTTTGTTTACCAAAGGTAGTGTAGTGGTGATTTGTGAGGAGCCCTTTGTTTTTGCTTTGGAGTATATATTATGCACCAGAGTGTCGAGGATGAGACTTGCATAGGATTAGGAGTTGGACACTAGCAACACAAGATATACGGGTAGTAGTTGTTCAATGAAGAAGACAAAGAAGAAGAAGGAGAAGAAGAGGAGGAATAACAATAATAAGAACAAAAGACAAAGACGAAGAAGAAGACAAAGACGAAGACGAAGAATAATACTATTTTGCAGTAGAAGTGGTAGCAGTAGCAGTAGCAGTAGCAGCAGCAGTAGCAGTAGCAGTAGCAGTAGCAGTAAGAGTAGTAGGAGTAGTAGTAGTAGTAGTTCTAGAAGTATTTACGTTGTTTACAATAGAGGAAGTTTCAATATGGCGTTGAATGGGGTTTGCACTAAAGGACTTTCACATGTTGAACAAGAATGGCTGGTTCCTTGCTTCAAACGGGATGTGGCTGTGGCTGCATCTCGGCAAGTCATCAGCAAAGGCGGGGCATCCTTCGAATGGCACTTGTTACTACTAGCATGGCACTTGTTCCTAGAAGCTTCTTGTTACTACTAGTAAGGCACCTG